GTGTACTTACACAAACCTACATGGTATAGCCTACTGCATACCTAAGCTCTATGGTTTAGCCTGTTGCTCCTAGGCCACAAACCTGTACAGCATGTTAATGTACTTAGTACTGTTGACACTTGTAACACAATGGTAATTATTTGTGTATCTAAACATAGAAAAACTACAATAAAAATACAGCATCAAAGATAAAAAATGGTACACCTATATAGGGCACTTACCGTGAGTGGAGTTTTCAGGACTGGAAGTTGCTCTGGGTGAGTCAGTGAATGAGTGGTGAGTGAATATGAAAACTTAGGACATTACTGTATAGTACTGTAGACTTTATAAGCACTGTGCACTTAGGCTATACTAAATTTATAAAGAAATATTTTTCTTCCTTCAAAAATAAATTAACCTTTTTAATAAATATTTTAAATAAAGTTGATAAATTAACTTTTTTACTTTATAAACTTTTAAAAAACTTTTTGACTCTTTTGTAATAACACTTAGCTTAAAACACAGTAACACTTAGCTTAAAACATAAACACATTATACAGCTGCACAAAAGTCCTTTATTTCCTTATTCTATGAGCTTTTTCCCTATTTTTAATTTTTCACTGTTAAAACTTTTTTTATTAAAAACTAAGATACAAACACACATTAGCCTAGTCCTAATCAAGGTTAGGATCATCAATATCATTGTCTTCCATCCCACATCTTGTCCCACTGGCAGGTCTTCAAGGGCAATAACATGCATGGAGCTATCATCTTCTGTGATAATAATGCCTTCTTTTGGAATCTCTCCTGAAGGACTTGCCTGAGGCTCCTGAAGGAGCTCACTGTAAAATAACAATAAAAAGTCTAGTATTAGTTGATACATAAGCCAGTAACATAGTCATTTATTATCATTATCAAGTATTATGTACTATATATCAGTGGTCCCCAACCTTTTTGGCACCACGGACCGGTTTTGTGGAAGACAATTATTTTGTGGACCAGGGATGATGGGGCATGGTTTTGAGATAAAACTGTTCCACCTCAGATCATCAGGAATTAGATTCTCATAAGGAGTGTGCAGCCTATATCCCTTGCATGCATAGTTCACAATAGGGTTTGTGCTTCTGTAAGAATCTAATGCCACCGCTGATATGACAGGAGGTGGAGCTCAGGTGATAATGCTTGCTGGCCAGCCGCTAACCTCCTGCTTTGTGGCCCAGTTCCTAACGGGCCACGGACTGGTACTGGTCCATGGCTCGGGATTTGGGGACCCCTGCTGTACATATTTGTATGTAGTACATTATAATGGCTACAGTGTCACTAGGCAATTGGAATTTTTCAGTTCCATATAATCTTTTGAGACCGCAGTCATATATGAGATCCATCATTACCTAAATATTGTTAAGTAGCACCTGACTGTAAGGGACATTTATTCTGAGGAATTAGCAGAGAAGTCCTGTGATCTGCTCCTTGCAAGATGGAGACTGGTGGAAAGCTGGTGGTGTAATGTGATTCTGAATCTGAAGGACTGAGAACCAGGTGAGCTGATGGTGTAAATCCCAGTCCAGTGGCAGGAGAAGACCTATATTCTAGCTCAAACAGGCAGGCAGGAAGCAAAAAGGTGTGAATTCTTCCTTCCTTCACCTTTTGTTTTATTCAGGCCTTCAATTAATTGGATGATGGCCAACCACATTGGGGAGGGCAATGTACTTTACCGAGTCTACTGATTCAAATGCTAAGCTCATCCAGAAATGCCCTCACAGACACACTCAGAAACAATATTTAATCTTAGCACTCCGTGGCCCCATTCAAATTGACACATAAAATTAAGCATCACATGAATTTAAGTTGTATGTATATTTTGTGAAAGGTGATAGAGGTCAGGAGTGTCTCAATAATTTTGCCAAAAAATGAAAAGAAGAGAATTACTGCCATTTCCTGTCATTTGTACCACCATCTGAAATAATTTAACCCAAAGCCTTATTATGTAATAACAGTTGTGCAGGTCAACTAGAACAATAATAAACAATCAGATTTCTCTAATCTGGGCATTTCTGTCACACACGGAGTGATGTAACTAAGAGTTGTATGGATGAATAGCGCAGAGAGACCTAATTCTTCCACATTCTTTGACTGCATGATAACTTGGAGAGAACACTGAATGAATTGATATTTCTGGCTAATATATAGGTTTTAGATTTTTGTGAATTAAAAACATTAATGTGAGCAAAGCTGCAACTTATATAGAGAATCAGTTTTCTGTTCAGAGTCTTGGGATATCTAAAATAAAATAGCTGGAGGATTTTATGTGTTGATTATAAGACCCATTAAAAGTCACAACCACCTAGTAGAAAAAGCTTCCATTTTTGAAAAATGAGGTTCTTTGAGAACCATGGATCATTGACTAGCTGATTATGTAATTTACTTTATTCTTTCTTTTTCTGTCTTTTCTATGGGCAAGGAGGAGGAGTTAGATGACACTAAGGGAATATGGATTTCAGATGTGCAGAGTTTTGACACTTTGATACAAAGAAATGATTATTCTAAATAACTTATTACATATGCATTTGAAAGAAGAAATGAAACTTGATTGAAAGTTCTAAACTTAAAAGAATTGCAGTGAAATCAGAGACTCTTTAGTTCAGCCTGTACGAATGAGGAAACCTAGATAAACAAAACACACAAAGTTAATATAAACTGGTTCTAGAAAGTTAATAAAAACTGCCATGACCCTAGGTCCAGTGCTATTTTCAGTATTTTATTTAATGTATTTTTAGTCGTTCTAACTTACCTATAAGATAAACTCATGTTTGTCTCAATTCATTCTATTTAGAATCTAAGTAAAATAACACATTTTTGAGATATTTTGGTTGGATCTTTGAAAATTAATTGTAAAACGTCACATAAATTAGGAAATCTACAAGCATATGGTATCATTTTTTTTGCTCTAGTTTCTTATTTTCTCAATGTTTTACATATTCATCAAGACTATACATAAGATAGTTGATCCCTTGGGTTTAGCTCTACAGGTATAAAGATTTAAATACAGTTTACTTTCAAAAAGTTATTTAAAAATTTTAAAAAGGAAATACTTCAAAGAAATGGAAACGAAACATTTAAAATAGGAAATATTAAAAATTTTAAATAGGGAAAAATTGCAAACATATTGAAAAAGCAGACTAACCAATATTAACAATATTTTAACCAGATTTAAAATGTTAAGTATTTTGACGTTTGCTTTATATTTATTTTTGTTGTAAAGAAATAAAAGTTCATAAAGATTCTTGAGTTCCTTCACATCCCATTCTGTCTCATTTTACTTCTTCAGAGATAACCACTTTCCTGAAGTTGGTATGTATTCTTCCTCCAGCTTTATTTATATTTGTATATATTTATTTTTTTATTTTATATATTTATATTTTTATTTGTATATATTTATATTTATGTATTCACAAATTTATATACCTGCTCTACCAGTATGGTATCCGCTAGCCACATATGGCTATTTAAATTAATTAAAAGAAATCACATTCAGTTTCTTTGGAGTACTAGCCACATTATAAGTGTTTAATATTCTTTAATATCCACATATCGCTAGAGGCTGCTGTATTAGACAATGCAGATACTGAACATTTTCATTATTGCAGAGCGTTCTGGTGTATACTATTGTTTGCGTGTTCTTAAACTTATATAAATTGTATCATCCTGTACATATTCTGGAGCTTGTTTTTTTACTCAGCATTATGTTTTTGAGATTTATCTACAGTGATACGTGTAGTGTTTCATTATATAAATGTGCTGCATTTTATTTATTCACTTATTTACGGATTTCTAGGTATTAAATGTTAAAACAATGCTGTAAGGAACACTTTTATGCTTGTTCCTTTGCCAGGTATGTGTAAAGGTTTCTTTAGGGTGTGTGCTTATTGGTTGTAATCATTATCAACTTTGCATGATGTAGTCAGCCATTCCCCAAAGTAGCAATACCAGTTTATGTTTCACTAGCAGTGGGTAAGATTTCCTTTTCCTCATATACTTGTTTATACTTAATATTATTAGAATATAGTGTGAAATGTTGTTTTGCTTTCATTTGCATTTCCCTAATAGTGAGGATGAGCAACCTTTCATATGTTTATTGTCCATTTACATTTCATTTCTTTTGTTTTTACCTTTTTCTTATTTCATTTTTTAATAATCATTCATTTTTGGTCATATGCATTGTAAACTTGTACCATTTTGTGGCTTATCTTTTTTTTGTAATTAATAAAAATTAAACTTTTATTTGGAATGATTTTCCCCCACCTTTCATAATTAAACAGGGCCCTATTTTACATTACATAATTTAAGTAAAAGGCATAATATTTCATGCTAATAAACCACATTTACTGAGAAAAACATGAACCTTTGAAAAAATATAACTTAAGACATAAGCTTTGTTATTTTAAAATTGTAGGGCTTGTCTTTACTTACATATCTTGCCTATAGACCTCACCTTAAAATAGATAACTATGATAGATTACTAAGAATAAAGTAACAAAAACAGACAGTAAATATCAGTACTAAATCCAATAAACTTTCTGTGTGTGTATATATGTTAGTATGTAATATATATAGTATATTACACATTTTTAAAATATAACTTTTATGTATTAAAAAGAAGACAAAAGAACAGCAACTCATTTTACCCAAACTCAGTGAAGGCTACTGAAATCTTTTAGCTGTGACAGAGACCGATCATTTTACCTTAAACATTTAACTGCCTATACAATTACGGATAGGAAACTAAAACAGCTCCCTTTTACACTATTATGTCTTACCAACATTCCCATACAAACGTTTAGTTAAGGATTTTTGTACTTAATAAAATTCAAATTGTTCTTAGGGTGTTCACTGCAACCTTTCAAGTAGTACAATAAGTATTCAGTATTACAGAATAATAAAGTATTTCAGTATTATTCAAGTAATACAGATATATGGCAAATCAATCATGTTATCATCAGTTAATAACTGAGAACCATACATGATGAGGACAGATATAAATATATTTACATGCATATTTTCACATGTGTATTTGATTTATAGAAACATAAATTAGTATGCATATTCTTATAGGAGAGGAGGCAGATGCACATATAAACTTTATTCATCTTAAGAGCCAACAAATTAAAAAATTATATGGAAAAAAAACCCACAGCTGCTAAAAGCTGTTCCATTTTAAATGCAGGTAAAGACAAAATTGATCTTTCAATAGCAACAGCCTTATAAAATAATTTAGTCTGCAAAATTCAATTTTATAATTGGAGTAACTTATCACCATTGTAAGAATTAAGAAAATGCATTAAAGAGATTCTCAACTCTTCAGTAATTACTTCAGAACCATAAAAAGGCATCACAAAGAAGGAACAGATATGCGTTCCGTAGTCCAAAAGAAATGAACTAAGTCTATCAAACTGATACTTCTTCCTAAAATTACTACATTTATTTCAAGTAACTAAGTTAAACATAAAAACTGCAAATAGAGGGTAACCTACCATACACAATATTCTGATAGATTGACAGTATATTTATGAATATGTGCCTTCACAGATACGTAGGCAATAGATCATAAAGATGTTGATGTGACTATAAAATTAAAAAACTGAGAGGTCAGAAGGCACATTCTAAAGAATATGAAAATATGTTAATAAAGTAAAATTATCTAGAAACTACTATTTGAGGCTTTTAAAACAAACAAAAATACACATTTAAATCTTCTTATTCTAAATCAAAAATATTTTCTTACAAAGTTTAAAGGACTTTTTTTATTATTATTTAGGTCCAAAAAAAGTTTTTAAATTTCACAGCAGAAATAACAGAAAATAAAATGTTCAATATTCTATACAGCACCTCGCTTTCTCCTAATTTTTCCTTAAACTAAAAGGAAACCAGGTAACATTAGTGTGGCAGAGAGTTCACTGTAGATTCAGTGTGATTTTCCTTATCCTGCTTTTCTTCACGTGGTGAATCTAGTTCATTTCTGCTATCTTCCGTCTCACTGGAATCACTGTCCGATCCACATTCCTCCATCCTGACAGACTGATTGTCATAAGAAGCACTTTCACAGGTTTTGTCTGTGGGAACAGCTCCTTTCCATTGGGGCAAGATAATAAAAAATGCTTCTTGCCAGTCTCTTGTTTTCAGGTATTCCAGAATAATCTGAAACACATGATTAACTGCCAACACTTTTCGACTATTCATCTTCACAAAATTTCCAAGCGGGAGCTGTGCATGATTGATTCCATGATCTGATGCTTGTTTATATGTGAGTCCCTTGTGATGGTTGTGATCTACTAATCCTCCAATCACATAAGCCTTTGATTCATCTAATTCATTCAGTATATTAGGTGAATCTGATGTAAGATAAATCAAGTCTTCTTTTTTTTTTGAGTTCACTATAGTACTCTGGTTTGATATGGATATCCTTCCAGTTGACCCATCCTTTGTCATTTTCATCCATGTTGTTTTTCAGCTGACCTCCATGGCTTGTCAAGTAAAACTGCACAGGATGCAGTGTCCATCGGTTTTCTGCATAACATCGTTGAATCTGCTTATGAAGTTTCTTAATGTCCCTTAATACCATCAAGTCATCAAAACTACAGTCAATAATGAGGTGAAGGGTGCTATGAACAACATCTCTTCGAACACGTTTTCTGTCATTTCCATCTGAGTTTGATTCCATTTGACATTGTCGCTCCGATTTTTTCCTCTAGCGTTTTTCTTTCCGCTTTTGTTTGCGGAGTTCCCATTGCTCTTCCCGTTGTTTCTGTTTTATTAGTTTTTTCATTTGTCGTTTAGATACTGGTTCACACCCTTCACCTAATCTTGGCTTCTGGCTTTCCTCTTGATGTTCATTTATGCCTTGCTTTTTGTCAACATTAGAAGTTTCAATAAATGCTGGCAACATTTCAGATGACATTATTTGGTGCCTCGAGCTGAGGAGTTGATAGGGAAGTGAAATCTCAGAAAGAAAGCCTTTCTAGGTTGGCCTGGTTACTGCTCACGCTTCCTTCCACAGAAATTTCAATTCCCAGAGGCAGGGGCGGTAGTTACACCGGCTTATCTTTTTACTTTGTTTGTGATGTATGGATGTATAGAGGTTTCAAAACTTACTGTGTAAATATTTTTGGCCTTACCCTTTAAGGCTTCTACTTTTTTGGGTCTTAAGAAAGTTTTTCCTATTTTGATGTCATAGGGTTAATTTTCATTTTTTCTTCTAAAAATGTTACAACTTTTGCTTTCTAGCCTTAAGTTTTAAAAATCCACCTGGAATTTATTTCGCGAGATGGTCTAATTTTTTTTCCATATGTAACTAATTTTCTCAGTATCATTATGAAAATAATTTATCGTTTCCTCAATGATTTGTATTGCCAACTTTCTAGTATAGAGTACCAACAATATTCAGTACCAAATTGCCATATATATGTGGTTCTGTTTCTGGGTTCCCTATTCTGTGTGGTTGATTTGTTTATCTCTATGCCAACATTATGCCGTCTAAATTATCATAGCTTTATAATAGGATGATGGCTGTTAGGATACATCATTCTACATTGTTCATCTTCTTCAAAAGTATCTTATTTTCGATCTTTTCTTTTACATGTGAATTATAGGGGTCACATTGTCAAGTTCTGTTAACAACCTTCATGGGATTTCTGGTGGAGTTGAATTTATTGAAATAATTTAGTGAGAACAGACATTTTTATGAAACTGAATTTTTTTCATCTACCAACATGGTATATCTTCCCATTCATTTAAGTTTCCATTTATGCCTGATGGTAAATTTTTAAAATTTCCTCTGTAAAAGTTTTACTCAGATTTTGTTCAATATATTCTAGGTGCATTATGATTTTGTTTCTATTGGAATGAGATGTTTTATTACATTTATGCTTGGGTATTGCCTCTGTGTAGGAATGCTATTAATTTTTTGTATGTTGATCTTATTCCCAGTAACCTTGTTGAATTGTCTCATTAGTTTTGACAGTTTGTAGATTCTCTTGAATCTTCTGTATAATCATATTATTTGTAAATAATAATTTTTATTTTTTCAATTCTTAGACTTTTAAAACTGGTTAGGGGCTGGGCATGGTGTTTCATGCCTGTAATCCCAGCACTTTGGAAGGCCGAGGCAGGCGGATTGCCTGAGGTCAGGAGTTTGAGACCAGCCTGGCCAACATGGTAAAACCCCGTGTCTACTAAAAATACAAATTCAGCTGGACATGGTGGCAGGCACCTGTAATCCCAGCTACTTGGGAGGCTGAGGAGGGAGAGTCGCTTGAACCTGGGAGGCAGAGGTTGCAGTGAGCCGAGATCGTACCATTGCACTCCAGCCTGGGCAACAAGAGCGAGACTTCGTCTCAAAAAAAAAAAAAACCCAAAAATCTGGTTAGGATTTCCTGTATAGGCCTAACTTGAAGCAGTACTAACAAAGATTTTTATCTTGTTTCTAGTTTTAAAGAGAATGTTTCAAAATTCTACTATTAAATATCAGGTTAAGAGAATTTTCTTGTATTCTTAGTTTGCTAAAAGTTTCTTAATATAATACATAGATGTTGAATTTTTTTTCCTGTATCTTTTGAAATGATCTTACGGTTTTTCTCCTAAATATGTTAATATGGCAGCTTACATTATTAGATTTAGCAATGTCAGTCCATCCTTGAATTCCTGGGATAAATCTTACTTGATTATGACACAGTTAAGTAGATATATGTATATAGACATAGACATTTAGATGATATAGATGGACACACTTTGCTTAACTAAATTGATTAAATTCATTAATTTGTGTTGGACATTTTCATCTCTGTTAGTAAATGAGCCTGCCTATAGTCTTTTCTTACCCGTTTTTGCCATTTTGGGCATTGAGATTATACTAGTTGATATGGTTTAACTGTGTCCCCACCCAAATCTCAACATGAATTATATTTCCCAGAATCCCTGTGTGTTGTGGGAGGGACCCAGGGGGAGCTAATTGAAACATGGGGGTTGGTCCTTCCCATGCTATTATCATGATAGTGACTAAGTCTCATGAAATATGATGGGTTTATCAGGGGTTTCCATTTTTGCTTCTTCCTCATTTTGTCTTGCTACTGACGTGTGAGAAATGCCTTTCACCACCTGCCATGATTCTGAGAACTCCCCAGTCATGTGGAACTGTAAGTCCAATTAAACCTCTTTTTCTTCGCAGTCTCGGGTATGTCTTTATCAGCAGCATGAAAACAGACTAGTACAGTCAATTTGTACCAGTAAAGTGGGGTGTTGCTGAAAAGATACCTGAAAATATGGAAGCAACTTTGGAAATGGGTAACAGGCAGAGATTGGAACAGTTTGGAGGGCTCAGAAGAGGACAGGTTTTTTAAAATTTATTTTTATTTTTTTATTATTATACTTTAAGTTCTAGGGTACATGTGCATAACGTGCAGGTTTGTTACATATGTATACTTGTGCCATGTTGGCGTGCTGCACCCATCAACTCGTCATTTACATCAGGTGTAACTCCCAATGCAATCCCTCCCCCCTCCCCCCTCCCCATGATAGGCCCCGGTGTGTGATGTTCCCCTTCCTGAGTCCAAGTGATCTCATTGTTCAGTTCCCACCTATGAGTGAGAACATGCAGTGTTTGGTTTTCTGTTCTTGGGATAGTTTGCTGAGAATGATGGTTTCCAGCTGCATCCATGTCCCTAGAAGACAGGTTTAAAATGTGGGAAAGTTTGGAACCTCCTAGAAATTTGCTGAATGGCTTTGACAAAAATGCTGATAGTGATATGAACAATAAGGTCCAGGCTGAGATGATCTCAGATGGAGATGAGGAACTTTTTGGGAACTGGAGCAAAGGTGACTCTTGTTATGTTTTAGCAAAGAGACTGGCAGCATTTCGCCCTTGCCCTAGAGATATGTGGAACTCTGAACTTGAGAGAGATGATTTGTGGTGTCTGAAAGAAGAAATTTATAAGCAGCAAAGCATTTAAAAGGTGACTTGGGTGCTGTTGAAAGGGAAATAGAGCATAAAAGTTCAGAAAATTTGTAGCCTGATGATGCAGTAGAAAAGAAAAACCCATTTTTCTGAGGAGAAATTCAAGCATACGTAGCAGAAATATGCGTACATAGCAAGGAGCCTAATGTTAATCCCCAAGACTGTGGGGAAAATGTCTCTAGACCATGTCTCCAGGCCATGTCAGAGACCTTCACAGCAGGACCTCCCATCACAAACCGGGAGGCCTGAAAGAAAAATGTGGTTTTGGGGCCAGGCCCAGGGTCCCTATGCTATGTGCAGCCTAGGGACTTGGTGCCTTGTGTCCCAGCCACTCCAGTCATGGCTGAAAGGGGCTGACGTAAAGCTTGGGTTGTGGCTTCAGAGGATGGAAGCCCCAACCTTGGCAGCTTCCCAGTGGTAATGAGCCCGCAAGGGCACAGAAGAATTGAGATTTGGAAACCTCTGCCTAGATTTCAGAAGATGTATGGAAACGCCAGGATGTACAGACAAAAGTTTGCTGCAGGGGCGGGACCCTCATGGAGAACCTCTGCTAGGGCAGTGCGGAAGGGAAATGTGGGGTTGGAGTCTCCACAGAGAGTTCATACTGGGGCGTTTCCTAGTGGAGCTGTGAGAAGAGGGGCACCGTCTTCCAGACCCCAGAATGGTAGACCAGTGACACCTTCCACCATGTGTCTGGAAAAGCTGCAGACACGCAACGTTAGCCTGTGAAAGCAGCTGGGAGGGAGGCTGTACCCTGCAAAGCCACAGGGGTGGAGCTGCCCAAGACCATGGGAACACATCTCTTGCATCAGCATGACCTGAATGTGAGACCTGGAATCAAAGGAGATCATTTAATTTGACTGCCCTGCTGGATTTCAGACTTGCATGGACCCTGTAACTGCTTTGTTTTGGCCAATTTGGAACAGCTGTATTTACCATTTGGAACAGCTGTATTTACCCAATACCTGTACTCCCATTGTATTTAGGAAGTAACTAGATTGCTCTTGATTTTACAGGCTCATAGGCAGAAGGGACTTGCCTTGTCTCAGATGAGACTTTGGACTGTGGACTTTTAGGTTAATGCGGAAATGAGTTAAGACTTTGGGGGACTGTTGGGAAGGCATGATTGGTTTTGAGATATAAGAACATGAGATTTGGAGGAGCTAGGGGCAGAATGATATAGTTTGGCTGTGTCCCTACCGAAATATCAACTTGAATTGTATCTCCCAGAATTCCCATGTGTTGTGGGAGGGACCCAGGGGGAGGTAATTGAATCATGGGGGCTGGTCTTTCCTGTACTATTCTCATGACAGTGACTAAGTTTCACGAGATCTGATGGATTTATCATGGGTTTCCGCTTTTGCTTCTTCCTCATTTTCTCTTGCTGCTGCCATGTAAGAAGTGCCTTTTGCCTCCCACCATGATTCTGAGGCCTCCCCAGCCATTTGGAACTGTAAGTTCAATTAATCCTCTTTTTCTTCTCGGTCTTGAGTATGCCTTTATCAGCAGCATGAAAATGGACTAATACCCTAGTCCTATAAGATAAGCTGGATAGCTTTTCCTATTTTTTATTCTTGGAATATCTTGCTTAAAATAGGGGTTACCTGTTTCTTTAAGATTTGGTGATACTTGTCTATAAACAACTTTTGACTGATATTTTCTTGTGGACATATTTTTGACTGCTGAATTAATTTCTTTGATATCATGAATATGTTCAGGTTTTCTATATTCTTGTTTAGTCAAATTTAGTTTGTTTATACAGAATATTCCAAAAGTCTTAGTACAGTTTTAAGCTTAAATGACTTCAAGAATATAAATGACATGGACTTATACAAAAAGGATCTGCAATTTAACTTTTTTTGAGTTTTATGGCTTCTGAATAACAAATTTTAATTTTTTGTTCCAATCAGTATTTGCCATATTTAGAGGAACTGAAACAAAAAATTAAAATTAAAAATTTATTATTAACTTTCTTTATAAGATTTTTTCCTCCTTTTTGTCTTGTGTGATTTATTTGTTGAGGAAACCAGCTTATTAGTCTGTAAAGTTTCCCACTGTCTTAGGAATTCCTAGACAACCCCCAGATTCAGTGACTCACTAGGAGGACTCACAGGCCTCAGCATATAGTCATACTCATGGCTGTGATTTATTATAGCAAAGGATACAAAGCAATAGCAGTAAAGGGAAAAGGCAAATGGAGCAAAGTCTGGAGGAAACCAGCCACAAGCCTTGAAAAGTCCTCTGCTCATGGAGTCACACAGGATGAACCTAATTCCCTCAGGAACAAGTTGTGACAACACTTGTGAAATGTCTACCAGGGAAGCTCACTAGAGACACACATGTGTGCCCAGGGTGTTTATTAGAGGCTGCTTATCTAGGCATTCTCTGCATGGCGTATACAAAATTCCAGACTCTCAAAAAGAGAGGAGGTGTTTAACTTAAACCACATTGTACAAACTGTTTAGGCACAGTGACCTCTCTTAGTAGTTCTGGGACTGGTGGCAACACTTCGAAATCCAAGTTCACAGGGTCAACCTTGCAAACAGTTTGTTCTAAAAAACTTTTCTATTTCAAATTTGGAATTATAGGAGTTTTACTTAACATTTTTGGTTTTATGTTTGTGTTTATTTCCCTCTTATGCTAAAACTGTTGGTTCCTAGTATCATAACATTAATGAAATTAATGTCTATTTTAATATCAGTATAACAATACCAATGCTATTGCTAACAATATGGTTACTGGGAAAAAGTTTACATTTTTTTTTACAGTTCTTTTGGTTCTTGCTGTATATCTCACTTAGAATTTATAATCTAATTACTCTGTTTAATGTCACTTGAAATAATTGTTCTTTGTGTTTAAGCTAGCAACTTGATACGTAAGTTAGTTTATTTCATTTTACTTTCAAATTTTGGGAATAGTTTTTAACATTCTTGATTCAGCTTTGCTTTATAATTATGTCAAAAATTTATATAGTTTCAGAGTCAAAACTAGAAAATAAGATAAATTTGGCGAGGTCTAGTTTCTATCCTTCTCGCTTTGCCCTTTTCTCTGCTTTCCCATAGGTAAACGATGTAATTAGCTTTGATTTATCTTTCTTTTGTGTCTGCTTTTAAAATGGAATTAAATTTATA